AAAAACCAAGGGGATAGAGAGTCAATTAGTATAAAAGACAGAATACGTGCTTGTTTAGCTGCTGGTAATAACGTTTTGAATATTGATGATTTGTACGATGCTGATTCATATGCGGGCGGAATGCGTAATTCGAAATTTAGTGTAATTACTATAAATAAGAAAATGTAGAACTTTGCCCAAAGTAAGATAGTTCATATTACTTCATCTCATTCAGTTCAGTTCAGTCGTAATGATATGACGTTTTGGAAGTATTATTCGATCGGCAATCTGTTACTAATAATGTTTCTACCATGTGCGAAAAATCTAGGGTTTCACGTACATATTTTCGATTATTATTTTGCACTATTCCGTGGTATACTTAGATTTGTGCACTAGTCGAAAACTCGGCGGCGCTTCTCCCGTCTCAACACCTACTTTTTCATCAAATCTGGTTGCACAATCGAATCTGTTAGTAGACACATTTTGTTCTATATATTGAAATGTGTCAATGCGTCGCTATTTGTGACACAAAATGTATCCGAAATACCGACACATTTTGTGCCGCTATTAGTGGCGCATTGACACATTTCAATATATAGAACAAAATGTGTCGTCAAATGACACATTGATTTTTATAGCGCGATGACGTCAACAAGTGATGATGTATTTCAAAGAATGAAGGACAAATATTAAAGTCAAAACACATTGGCAACTGTCACATCTGTCTATCGATGAGAATAATGGTCATATTTAGTTGGCATTTTTCACCGCGAAGGAAAGGCCTGGAAAGGTTTTAAAGGTGATTTTCGGTTACAGCTCGCTCTCCTCTATCCAACCATATGTAAATAGTGAGAAAATAAAGTAGTGCTTAAACTTTGAATTACGCGCGCCTTACATACATATATATGTATATTTTATTAATATTAGAAAAAAGACGAAGACACTAACAAAAAAGCCGTCTGACTCTAACTACTACAACCATGGTTGAATATGTATACGTACTTTACCATATCCCATGAGGACTTTTCGGATAGAAAAATTGTCTTCTCCGCCATAAAAAACTTATCGTATCCGCTGTCACACTGCGATATGTCGAGATAAACATTACAGGGCGATATATATATATATATATATTAACACGAAAGACAAGACGAACGAAAGAGCCGAGAAACCGTTTCTCACATTCTTTTGTAATACATACAGCAACAACGATATGCTTATTTTTCGTTTTTTCTCTTTCGTCCGTCTTGTTACATTTTAACATATCAGTATCGCTAGACACCACGAGACCATATTTTATCAGGATATATTGAAATAATACTGCAACGGATATTACCCAGATAGAACAATTATCTGATCCATTGTCACACCCCGATATGTCGCAATAAGAATTATAGCACAATACGTGCCGATCAATGAGTAATCTCGATGTATCGTAATAGATTGGTATCAATACATATCTGGATAGTACTCGGTGTTGGAAAGTACGGCGATAAAAAATCTATCACATCCGTTGTCACACTGGGATGTATCGGTGAGGCATGGATATACTGGGATATATCTATCTAAAACAAGCATCGACGTATATCGCTCTGTAATTTTAATCCCGACATATCGCAGTGTGACAGCGGGTACGATAAGTCTTTTATCGCGGAGAAGACGCTTTTTTCAACTAATCTACATTTATCGTTAACTATTTTATTTATTTATTTATTTTTTATTAGAAATCTTACCGCCACACATTTTTTGTGTTTTGACTTTAATATTTGTCCTTCATTCTTTGGTCAATCGGTCATACATGTAGCCAGCCGTGCAGATACTTACCCAGTGCATACCAATATACTAGATATATGTTCAGTACTTGGTTACAGCTAACGGCATACACATAAACGTATGTGTCTGTATGTGCGCACTGTATACCCATGAGGACTTTTCCGATAGAAAAAAGCGTCTTCTCCGCGATAAAAGACTTATCGTACCCGCTGTCACACTGCGATATGTCGGGATTAAAATTACAGAGCGATATACGTCGATGCTTGTTTTAGATAGATATATCCCAGTATCCCTGTGTTTGTATTCTAAAAAACAAAGTCACTGTACGTACGGGATATCCATCATTGCTGTTATGAGGTAAAGGGATTTTTCATCTCAATTAGAAAAAAATAATATAAGCTACTCAAAAAAGCATCGAACTATGTATGCACGTATCCCAATCAGGCTAGTTTGTATATCCGACTCAGTTTTTCATCCGCTTTCTTATGCTATAGTTACTTTTCTGCAGTAACGTCACAATTTTTGCGATAATGAGTTTTTCCATAAATTTTCTCCGATATCCCGTTCGCGGTATACCCTATATCCCGAACGAGATAGATATACCGATCGAGATATCGCTCATGAGACCGGACTGCCTGTTTTTGTTTCTAACCTAGTCTAGAGAAATAGATACGTTTATACTTGATAATCTGTTAGAAGAAGTAAGTAATAGTTCTTTTCTTACGCAAGATGCTTTTACTGTACTCGTTTCTTCCTTTTGTTCACATCATATGTTGTGATATGATGACATACGAAGATCATATATTTATAGTGACCTTTCTCTTCTTCTCTGTTCTACTGACGTCATTAGTCCGGCCAGTTGTAAATGACATATTCTTTTCCATTCTTCTTACATATCATGATCTAATGATGTCATGTTCTGACCAGTTCTTCTGACGACATTAGGTCCTTTTCTGATCCTTTCTCGGATGTTCGTTAATATGTATATATAGCTGTATTTTTCGTGAATGTAATCGGTAGTAATTTGTTACTGACTAAAGTGAACAAGTTAGACAATTAACCAGGGTAGTTTTACTACATAACAAATCAAAGCAGAGACAGACACAAATATTTATTAATCAAAACAAACTAAATTACTAAAATGATTTAAATTTGTTTCCCATTTTTCCATTATATTTCCAGTATCAATATTGAATACGATAAAAATATTTTTATTGCTATCTTTTATACTCCATATTGTTATCCATAAACGTTCATTGGTATTCATTGTATATGTTGTTGTCCATAGATATTTTTCAAATGGGATTATTGTTTTACCAATAGGATCAAATCTTATCTCATTTTTTGCTGTTATTGTGAGTTGAGTTAAAATCCAACCATTTGTAATTGAGGACGAATAAACGAGAGCAATTAAACGATCATTAACAGAATCATAATCTATTGCATATATTGTATAACCATTTGGTATTCGAATGTTTATATCTAATTTTCCTGTATCAATATTGACAGCATAGAATGTTGATTCAATTACATTGTAATATAGACGACGTTTTGATGCATAGACCATAACTAAACTATATGAACCATATGGATATGTTCCAATAGTTTCCATTAGGCCATTCGTTTGATTAATTTTGGCTACTTCTAAACTTGATCCAGCATGAAAACTTTCTCTTATACCAACAATTTCATTACTATTAGGTGCAGCTATTTGCCAAAATGATCCAGAATCACGTTTTTCATTTAATGTTAAATTAAGTTTGATCGATTTTGTATGTATATCAATTATTAATAGAAAGTAATGGGGTACACCCAAACTATTGGAAGTATGATATGTACTAACATATTTTTGATTGTCAATTTTTACTGATGTTGCTGTACCAGAAAATGATACACGACCTAAATTTATAATACGATCATAGGATGTTGAATTAATTATTTCAGTAAATGTTGTTTCGAGTGATGATTGATCTACTCCATAAAGTCGACATTTAAATGTTGTAATAAAAGGGATCACCGAAAACAAAATAAGAACTATATTTATGATAAAATAAGAATATTTTTTATCCATCTTAAAATTCTATAGAAAAAATAACAACAATTCGTTCGTCATTCAAAATTCTTTTGACTCACGATTGATGGTCAATGGGAGGTGTAAACTTTCTCAGCAGTATCTGAGTTCTTCCAGATTCAGAATTCTAGGTAGTACACAGGAGAACCAAAGCAAACGTCAGAATCGAGAACAGAGCTGGAAGTTAAGGCCCCCGCCCCGCCCCCCTCTCAGAAACATAAATTTTTTATAAAAAGCCGATATTAAGTTAAGCACATCATCACATAGCCCACAATATCTACTATCAGGATCCAATGTTATTTAGTCATCATCAACAGTGTATGGAGGTTTTCAGAAACGTTTTCTGAAAACCTAGAAAAGCTGGCTTTTCAAAAAAGTTTTCCTTTCCGATTAAGACAAATTGAAAATTACTTTTAGTATATTGAAAGATAGAGCAAGCATTTCTGATCAAAATGAGATATTTCCCAGCTCTGAATGATGTTCCAATCAAGAGTTATGAGAGTTCGACTGAAAGCCCTAAAACATGCATTAGACACTAGCGCCACCATATCTCGAAAGCGACTTTCACCTTAACACCATTTCGTAGCTCCAAGATTTCTCCGCAACGAAATATCGCGGAGAGCTCGGAAGGTCTTAAATTGAAGCTGACACATGTGCCTAGAGCTTATCAGAGCCCGATTTATGATATTCGGTTTAGATTTGCGATTAGAAAAACGCCTTTACCAAAGCTAGCGAGACTTTTTCGAATTTAGGACTTTTGACGCTGACAATTAATTGGAAAAGGAAAATACAAAAAATCCGGCTCTTTTAGCCTCTCGCCACATACGTCTTTGTCAATTAAGCAGAACTAAACCTCATTTCATCAGAATTGATAAATAGATCTGAATATAGATCTGGCAGAATTGAACGGGTCTGTTGTGCCGCATCAGTAAATATTCGTATCTTCCATAAAACTACATAGAGCCATAAGTCTAACACCCCAGCACTCCTGACAACATAAAGATTCTTTACAGAGGAAGGGGAGGGAGAGACGCAGCATGCGAGTGAGCAGCAAATAAAACATTTTTAAGTCGAGATCCAATGTTTTAAAAACCATGCGAGCTTAAACCTACACCCTTGTTCAATTCTGTAGCTATTGTGTGAAGTAAAGTTGGATTCTGATAGAAGCAAGATAGAATTCTGATTGTCTAGGAGCTGTGACATGAAGACCTCAGGATAGGCCTTATCGCTTTCCTTGTTCTCACCTTTTTCAGAGTAGTGTGAATAGAATAATCAATCCAAACAGAAAGATATTAAAAACTATTTTCTTTGATAAATCATTTTTTAATTTAATCAAATATTTAAAACCGTGTCATGTCATGCTATCTATATTACAATACATTTGAGCTTGTGTGAATTAAAAAACCTGACAAACAAATATTAAATTGCTTAACATGTATTTTTCAGTGATATAAAAATTTTTTTCATTTGATTGAATAGAAAAGAGATTTTGCTTGTAACTATACTTATCCGTTTCCACTCATTTAGACTAACGTTCGTTTTACTGACTAACATATCCTAATCTTTCTCAGTCAACCAACTACACTGACGGTTGGATTCAGTATTGCGGTTGCTATGAACATAACTGCAGATTAAAGTGCAAGTTGCAGGTTTATACATTTATTCAAATCCGCCTTGAACACATGCGTTTGATGATGATTTTATTTTTCAATTATTCGGCAATACTTTTTGAGTGATTACTAAATGCTCTTGAGAAAGATCACAAAAGTAATTTATGGTGTTTATACCTTTATGCACAATGGACAAAGGTAGTATCCACCAACAAGGAAAGAGAAGGAGTTGGAAAATTTGAAGGTAAAAACTAACATTTTCTGTACGAAAAATTTAGAAATCAGTATAATTATGATTCCTACTTGTTAATTGTGGAAGAGATGTTAGCATTCATGTCATACGGCGACCTAGGTACCGAAGAAAACTGCAAATAAAATTGAAGATTGTTTGCTTGCAAGAGTGAAATGTGTTATATTGTTTAAAGAATGCACACAAAAAACATGGATTTGTAAAATCTCTGGTCGGGCAAAATATTAAAAAAAATTTACTGGTGAAAAGCATTTTCTGATACTTACTTTTGCTGCTGAGTTAAAACGTTTTTGGTTGAAACCACTCCTTGTTGAGAGCTTATGAGAAAATTTTGATTTTCTGCCCTATAACAGACGTGTGTTCATTTTCTTCTAATTGAGATGAAAATTCCTTTTACTTCATAACAGCAATGATGGATATCCCGTACGTACAGTGACTTTGTTTTTTAGAATACAAACGCAGGGATACTAGATATACTAGAATACTAATAACAGTCTTCTCTTATGGTTGGTGCGCAATGATACATATGACTCAATAAAAAACAAAAAATTGTACATATTTCATGTTTTGGTGTTACGGAAACGTAGTTATAGACTACACGAGAGAATATCAAAATACCAAAAATCTAAAAGCTATACTAGCCAAAAATGGAAGTATTACTGTTCAATAGACAAGAATTATGTAGTGCTAGCGAGGGGCCCTGATAAACAGGAGGAATAATAGTCTTTTGTTACTAATAATAATATAAATCAATCATAGATATCTTTTGTTCATTCTGAGCGGTTCTGTCATCTTATGTTCTGACTACGTGTAATAATAATCTTTAGCTATATCTATTTGTTGTGTTATGCTATATTAACTAAAGTATTTATTTGATAAAATTTCTTGACTTTTTCTTTTTTTGGGTTAAATTTATTCTTATAATGCCACACGAATTTCAATAAAAATCCCAACGTACAGTAGTTCATCCACTAACATTTAGTGGTCTGAAAGATGTTCTTGTCGAAACGTTAAACAATGATCAACAATTACCAGCATAAGTGGCTGCCATAGTCAGTTCTAACAATAGTGAAGTATCAAGTTCAGTGAAAGATATTATCGCTGTTATGAATCAAGGAGTTTTAAAAGAGACTGGTCAACGTCTGAATGCATTAGAAAAGAAAACAGGAGATTCAGAACGATATAATCGTACATGGTGCCTGCGTTTTTATGGCTTATTTGTCCGACACAGATATTATGACAATGGTTGAGGGTAGATATTCATCTAAACGTCTAATCCACCGTGGCGTTCCTCAAGGGTCTGTTCTTGGGCCGTTGTTGTTCGTAGTGCATATTGATGATTTGTGCAACGGTATTATGAGTACTATTAAACTATTTGCAGATGATGTTTCACTCTATACTCGTGGTATCGATATATCACGAGCAGCAACATTAATAACGACCTCGTCACTATTAATCAGTGGTCGAAAGACTGGAAGTTCTCATTAAATGCTGATAAATGGGTAGCTATGTGTTTTTCTCTAAAAGATTTACCCAAAACTAAGCCTCTATAAACTCTCGGTACCGACGTTTTAAATTATGTTGATGTTCACAAGCATTTAGGTTTAATTATAACAAATAACATATACCGGAGCGAATACATTAACCATATATTGTTAAAAATAAACAAACTTATTGGTCTACTAAAACTATTTAGTAAAATTTTAACTAGGCAAGCATTAAATATAATTTATAATTCATTCATAATGCCCTGTTTCACTTATGCTGACATCATCTACGGAAACACATCAGAAATAAATATTAAGAGACTTCAGAGCGCTCAGTACCACGCTGCACTTGCAGTAACTGGTGCTATTCGTGGAAGTAATATAAAAGATGTTTTAGCAGATTTCGGTTGGGAACCGATTGAGAATTGGTTCAGAACAGATAGATAACCACAGTTTCAAACTATTTTAGTTACACAGTCACCATCTTATCTGTTTGAACTAATTCCTAACCCAGTAAGGCCACAAAGAAAATATACTCTTCCTAGTCAATACTCAAATAGACGAAAATTAGCTAAGAGATGTCTGGAAGCAGTTGATGCTTCCTTTTTCTGCCGAACGTTTCGTGAACGTTCTAAATTACCACTAGAAATCTGTTGACCTTAAACATTAAATCAGTTAAAAAGAAAATCATTACAGCACAGGGACGAAAGTTTCCCATTTCAGAAGAGCGCATGAGTGAAATCAACTATTGTCGTTGTCGCATTGGTCTTACACAATTAAAATATGATTTGCACAAACGAAGCCTAACAGATGATTCTTTTTGTGAGTGTGGAGAGGTTGAGACCATCGAACACTACATATTATAATGCCCATCTTATCAAAATAAGCGGAATATTTTATTTAGTCAAATAGCCACTTTTTTGCCAAATACGATTGTTGCTTTGCCCTTACTACTACTCAAAGATAATATTATTCAACAAGTTGACTTAGTAGAACTATACTTACAGATTGATGATAACCTATGTTATAAATACTGAACGCTTTATGAAACATGCCTGATTATTTTCTTCTTATTTAATTACACACACCTCAGCAGCGTTTTAGATGTGTCCGTTACGGGTCTGCATCACTTCTTTATCTTATTTTTGATTTTTATGTACATTTTCTATTAGCTTATCATAACATAAAGGCTTGTTGTTTGCCTTTATTGCTCTTCTTATTCTCACTTCCCTCTCTTCCTTCACGTAGCATACTTACATTGTCTACTTAATTGATACTATAATAGTACTGAAGTGAGCACGTTGTGCTCATTGTACTCTTTGCCATTTGCTATACTTTTAAATAAATTGGCTTAAATCAATATAAATCAATACTATGTCAATACAATTACCGTTCAAGGCCGAGAGTACGAGTATTGTGACATGTTTAAATTACAATCGTTTTCTCTTCTGCATTTATTATCTGCAAAGAAAAAATGTTTCTCTTTTTCTGCGAAATAAAACATGAATTTTTTTATGTGCTGTAACTAGATCTGTGACAATTCCCGGTTCCCATTCTTTGAACGGAAATTGTTTTGTAGTTTCCGTTCCTGAACTAAAAGGAGGAGCGGTTTACCAGTTCCCGCGAACGGGAACGACAGTTCTTTTTGAACTG